ATAAAGACTAGAATAAAAAATATGTTGTCTGAGGCTTCCAGCCAAAAATGTGCCAGCACTTTCCCTTCCCACCGCCCCCCCAAACTCCTTAGGCCAAAAGCCTTAACAAAAGCTGTTTTCTGTTTGGAAGATCTCCGGGCCCTTCGCTCTCTTTCCTAACCCCTAACACAGGAAATGATTTTATAATTCACGTTATTAAGGAATTCGACTCACGTTCCGCCTCCCCGCCCTTCCCACCCCGTTCCCTGGATGTTGACCGACAATAAGCCTGTGGGCTGGCACCCGTCCTCTCTGACCCGTTCATGTCAGCTCCTCTACCTGACCCTGCCCGTAAATCACCTCTCCAGACCTCCACCGCAGGCAGCAGCCAGCTTTACCCAGCATCCAGCTGCGCTCCAGTGCCTGCTTCGCCTTCGGAAGATACCCACCAGTGAAACAGCGGGTGCTCCCGAGTCATGTCGCACCCCGGAACGTCACATTTCACCTGTGTGGTCGTGCCGGTCGTGCCAAAGACCACGCTGGTGATGGGGAGGCAATAAATCAGTCTCCCTTGGTAAGAGCCGAAAACCACATCTCCTGAGGTGCTCCAGGAGGAGAGGGCAGCCGTGGGGCAGGGACCCGCGGCCCCCGGGACCCCTTTGGGCGGCCCCCCCCTGCTCTGCTGGAGGCCGTGACAGTGTGGAGGTGGACCCCGAGAGCCGGCTGAGGGAAAGCTCCCTTTGCTTCAGAGACGTCCTTGTTCCAGGAGAGAGCCTCAAGCGCTAACTCGAGGGCTGTGTTCCCTCTTCCCAGCCCTACGGATGCTGGATTTGCATCTCTTCTTTGAGAAGTGAAGAGCGCCTCTCCTGCCCTTCTTGGCATAGCTCGTGTCCCAGTGGGCAGGCCAGGAGAGATCGTATCTCATTGATCCTGGTCTGGGACACGGGAAGCGATGAGAGCCTCTCTCAACACCTTGTTTCGCATGGGCTTTTGTGGGCTCAATTCCTTCAGCTAGAGAAGGAGAATGAACCTCCGTCTCCCGGCCCCTCGGCAAGACCCCTAACCACAATGCTTTTCTGGAAAATGAGGCAGCGTTACTTCTTCCTCAAGCCTTTTTATTTTACTAAATCAGTGCACAATAAGATCCTTCAAAGGAAAAGTAGCCCTGCTGTGAGGATGGAATTGCAACATATCCCTGTCCTTTGCTATCTTATCAGCTAATAATAACCAAGCTTTCCTTCCCAGTTTGGGCAGCGTCCCACCTGCAGCGTGGGCTGCCTGGATGCCAAGGAGCCTCACACAGGAACCACAGGCAATTCTACCCCTTCTCCTGTGCCCTCTCAGGCACACAGCCCAATGCCTCTGTGTTCGATGTAGGGACACACAACTTTCAGATGCTTGCATCATTTGTAAGGAAAGGTCCCGGTCAGTGTACCTGGCTGCCTCTCTCAGTCTTGTATGTCCTTGGAAAACCACTTCAGTAGATAAGATGATGCTCTAGACAACAGGGAACAGCTTTGAGAAAAGAGACTGTCAGTGACCTAAGGGACTCTTTTTTTGATCTCATGGATGGGTTGGTTTCCCACAGTGTCAAAGAAGTTCAAGTCCAAACAGGTCTTGAGTGGGCGACATGACAGGCTGAGGAGCATCCCTGCATCAGAGACTCCCTCTCCTTTGGAGGTGCTGCAGTGCCCTGCAGCCAGCATCCATTGCACCTCCGAGGGGCCACGCTCACACTGTCGCTGGAAGAAAACGGCCAGGAGCTGCTGTTCAGCTGCGTTTTTCACAGGTCTGTGTGTTTTGCTGGTGCATCCTATGCTTTGTGGAAAATATCCTAGGGGTGCTCAAGGTAGCGTTGCATTTCTTTGCTCAGTACCAAGTAACATGTGTGCAAGCCTATGTAAAGCTGTTCTACCCATTTCAAGATGTTTGAGCAGTTACCTTCAATACGAAGCAGGTTCAACTCAATTCCTGACTCTCTTTGTCTCCCTCTGCCGCATGCATGCGTGTGGAACACTGCCTGAGTACCACCTTCCCCAACTCACAGATCCCAAACATCAAGTCAGCTTTGGGTGGGAATGGAAGGCAAAGCAGCCTAAGGGGCCATGTCTTATTCTGAGTTATACCTCTGTAAATCCAGAGTGATTCCAGAGGGATCAACCTCTATCAGCACCAGCAAATTTGTTCTTAGTTTGAGCATAGAATGTTTGTCATAGTTGTTATTAAATGATGCCTTTACATATTCCAGGCCTATTTTTAAAACAAAGGCAATGAAGTTAGGGCATCCAGTTCTATATATGGACACTCCAAATGGCACTGAAATGCCTCATGCATGTGTTTGGCTGAGTGTTGATTTGGGTGTCCAAATATGGACCTCAGAATGGGATATCTCACTCGGATAAGTACCCTTGCAAATTTGGCGTGCAGCACTTCTTCGAACAAAGCAAATTTATTTCCATCATTTAGCATGGAAAAAGCACGAAATGTTTTCATTTTGAGGGACCTTCTTATTTACGGAATTGGGCCACTCAAATACTGACGTGTGCAGTAGCTCTGGAAAAAATAAAGCCCTCAAAATCATCTAAGACAACGCAGGAGGAAATCAATGCAGGGTGTTTGCAGCACACAGACCCGCTCTTATCACAAGGGCGAAATTCTTGCTGACAGCAAGAATTCAGTGCCAACAGAAGGACCCGTGCAGCTTGATCACAACAAACTCTCCCTCTGCCCGGGCAGTGCGAAGGGATGCACGCAGGGCCGGCTGCTTAGAGACCTGAGGCAAAGCTGCCTCTCTCTGCTCATGAAGACAGTCTCTGCATCTCAAAACTGTACGCGTGCGAGAGCTGGAGTGATTGCTGTTGCACGCAAGAACCTTCCCCTGTATCTCCCAGTGCATCAGGGTTTTCTTTGTCTGGCTCCTTGATGGCGAGTTCTCCAAGAAAGAGCTTGGCTTGACTCTTAGGTCTTAGTGTGTAATAAATAATGTCAGCAGCGAGGGAGCACCATTCTGCAAGCCTTTGCTGGGTTCCCGTTAATTACGAAGGACCTTCTTACATCCTTTGTGTAATTCCACTCATTTTGTTGGCATCGTACAAGGGATGGATTTGGCCTCAAAAATAAAGCAGGTTTCTTTTGCATAATGTATCGTACCATTTGGTCTACATTTTGCTGAAGGTTTATGTGTACTTGGAGATTTCTCCCCAGATATGCAGCTGTAGATGTTTTTAAAATAGCAAACAATGAACTGATTCAACTGTCCAAAGCAGTTGTTCAGATTCCGAATTTTGGGATAAGTTGTTAAGAAAGTGTAAGGTGGGCAAATTTTCAGGAAAGCTACAGTAAGTTTGTGATCGTTGGAAATGCGTGAAGCCGGCTCCAGCCTAGATCGCTTTCTCTACCTCTGCTGTCCTGATGATTTTTGACAAGCTGATTCCATTTCTGGAAAAAGCAGATCACAAGAGAGAAAGATTTCTCTAAAGAGTCTGTTGTTTTTCAGAAGAGTGAAAATGTGTGCTAACAATTCTGGACCACTGACAAAAGCAAAATCAATACACACGGCCTTCATTTTACAGCCAAGTTCAGATGAATAAATAGAGATGCAGCAAGCTGTTTACTAGGGAGACAAGCTTTGCTCTCTGTGCCCTTCCAAGCAGGCGTGCTTATGCTGGTGTTGTTTGCCTTACATGGCTGGTTAATGAAATCAGTCAAATAGTTACAGAGCTCACTGGACATTTCAAGCCCCTCCATCCGCAGCGCTGGCCGTACTGGCCAAGAGCTGAGAAGCAAACGCTATCACGTGAGCTAGCTCAGGGCCTGCAAACATGTTGCTGTTGCAGAATTTTGGGGGCATTTGGGAGGAGTTTGGTGCTTCGAAGAACCTAAGCTTGATTTCAGGGGGAGTTTATACACAGAAAAACCCTGTCCTAACAAAAGGATGGGCAGAACATGCTCAGTAAGCAGCCCAAACGCAGCACGAGCAAACTGTGCTCGCACGGATCCCCTTGAAATGGATGAAGCTGCAGCCAGTGCATCCATCTAGGGCTGCTCTTTAAGATCAGGACCTAACTCTGCACTGTGCTAAGCACAGGGTTTCTTTTTTCCCCTCATACCTTGAGCGCTGCAGAAACTGAGAGGTGGCAAGGGAGGAGTGAAAATGGAAGGGACGTAGATACAACCTTCAAGAACACTTACATATATTTTTCCGAGACTTCAGACTGAATTTTGTTTGATCTGTGACCAGGCAGGTAGAGGAATGAATAACCACATGCACAAAAAGGAAAAAAATAATAATAAAACAACAGCACGTTTAAGTGCATTTTTTTTTTCTTGGAGATTTATTTTGTTTTAATAAATCTGACAGCAGTCAGGGAGAGAGAAAAGTGTTGCAAGCCCAAAAGGAAAGCAGAGCACGCTGAGGGTGCTTCAGATTCTTGCTCTCTTGAAGATGTTTCATCAGTATGCCTTTGAGCTCTCTCCCTAGACTCAGGAGTTGTTGGATTTCCCCCCCCCATTTTTTTTTTGTTTTTTTTTCTGTTTGTTTTTTTTTTTTAAAAAGCGAGCTTACTCGCCCGGTGTGTTTTCCAAGCTTTCACAGCTCTAATAAATAAGGAGCACCTGTAAAACAGTAGCTTGACTTAAGTGAATCTGTACAAAGGAAAATATAGAAATACAGTATATACATAGTGCTCATAGTGCACCATCACTACAAGGCTCTGGTTTGACTGACTCTGCTACCCTGCTCCCAACACCGCTGACAACCTCAGAGACACTGCTCCTGCAAACTGCTCCTCGCTTCCCTGCAGCAGCCTTATAGAAAAGGTGTACTCTGAACACTCGAGAGTGAACAATTGCTTTATTCGAGTTAGTAAACAGTTACACTGAATCACAAGGTGATCTGAAATTTTTTTTAGTTTTTTTTTGTTTGTTTTTGATTTTTTTGTGGGATTTTTGTGGGATTTTTTGTGGTTTTTTTTTTCTTTTCTTTCTTTTTTTTTTTTTTTTTTTTTGATTTTTTTTTGGGATTTTTGTGGGATTTTTTGTGTTTTTTTTTTTTTTTTCTTTCTTTTTTTTTTTTTTTTTTTGTATTTGTCAGAATGGGATACTCCACGACTCTCTTACCAATTCAGTGCCAGTATAACATGCTCTAGTGTACTTTTGGACTCTTGGCTACAACTGTACAAGTGCACACAAGTAAATTCTACCCTGTTATCCTCCACCCACTGATTGAGGATCGAATTGCACATTTCTCTTAACCATGACAGGAGAAAGCAAACAGTGAAACAGAATCATGGGGGATCTTTCTCACTTTACCCTTGTTTTCATTGGTTTGTCCATACCATTCTAATTATCATGAAAGGGCTATGCATATGGAGAGATTGTCTCACTGCCTTCCTGGATCACTGAAAACCATCAGGGTTGAAATTTCATCCAAGTCTTTCGTGACGCCCAGCAAATATTCCCCTCAGATTATTTTACACCTTGAGGGAATTTTGGTCTTTAGTTCAACACTCTTGCTCTGTTCCCAAATGGGGCGCTATTTAGGGGAATTTAAAGAGAAAGCTGAGAAGAATAAACATTTACTGAGTTCTCTTGGCATTCAGTCTCTGAAAAACCACAGTATAAACTATTCATGCTGCTTCTTACATCTGTCAAATCAAAAATTAAAAGCCATAAAAGTGTAACACTGAAAATATGGCATTAGAAAGGATAAAGGTGGCCTTTGTAAAAATAACAAGGAAAGTATATTAGCCAATAAAATATTCTAACTCTTCATTTAAAAGTGCATCATGGGTAGGATAGAGATGACTCTGAAGCGTCGCTACTCCAGTATTACCCCTTTCCCCCATCAAAACTCGAATAGGTCCAAAACCATACAATGCAAATCACGATTCTTAGTGTAGCAGCAAAACCACAGCAGTTTTTCGAAGGAAAAAAAAAATAAAAAAAATCTGTATCATTGTCCAGTCTCAAATATCTGAACTTTGAAGTCAGAGAGGGAAAAGTACCTATGTTGGTCCGTGTGGTTTTTGAAACCAGGGCGAAAAATCCCCCCCCAGCAAGAAACCAAGAGGAAAAAGCGTTCCTTGGAGGAGAAGAGGGGTGGTCGCAGGAATGAGGAGGACACTGTGTGCGGCCATGATGTGCTGTCTTCTGGGTCAAAGGCACCCGTGGGACCGAGGCTTCCTCGGAGGGGCTTCGTGGCAGGAAGCTGCTTTCTTTGCCGGACTTTTAGCCAGAGGGGGTGGTGAGCGGACCAGCTGGTGTCATTCGGTGGAGTGACGTGGTTTGCTCTGCTCCCTTTCTCCATGCAAGGTACCCTGTCGGCAAGCGTTCCTGCAAAGCATACAAGCAGAGGTGGTCAGGGCGAGCGGTGGGGACCCGTTGCAGGCGGGCCAGGCGTCGCCTGAGCTCACATCGCGCGCAGCCTCACGCTGGGCGAGCGGAGACACAAGCCCACCGCTTCGGCCTTGGCTGCCCCTCGTGCCACAGGGGCCTTTGCTTGGATGCTGGAGAGGGAGATGGAGGGATTCCTGCGATAAAAAGCTGGAAACTGATATAATAATAGTTCATTCTCCGGGTTTCAGAGAGCCTTTCATCCTACAAGAGCACGGGTGAACGATGATACTTTGCAATTACACAGCACTCTGCACCCCTTGATTTCAGCGTGCGGTACAGAACTGAGATGTACTGCTCTCTGCATGGCACGGGTGGGAAAGTGGAACCAGAGAAGGAGAAGCATTTGGACCAGGATTCCCAGGCACCTGGAATGGGGACAGGACAGGGAATATTGCATGTGCCAGGGCTCCCCAGAGACATCTCACTGCATGGGCTGGTGTGTGGCTCCACAGGGCTCACCGGGCTCATGGAGAAACTGGGATGGTACCCGGAGACAGCTCCACTCTCATGTAAATACACATTTCTCACTAACAGAGCTAACTCTGTAGGTACTATCCATGCTATGCATGCAAACTGAAGATGACCCTCCTCGCCTTTCCCCAAATCTGCAGTCAAACAAAGGTCAGATGTATGCTCCACATAGCAAAACCAAGCTTCAATGAGGGAGGTCGGGCTGGAATCCCCCACAATCTCCTCCATCTTCACTTGGGATGGTTCTGCAAACAGTCTTGTACCACCGCCATAGCAGATACATTGCCAGGGGTCACGACTAGTAGAGCATGGTGACTGACACTGCCTAGCACGACAAACAGAATTCAAATAAAGGCATTTTAGGATCCAAAGCAGAACTAGGCATTACTCTCACTGAGGTAAACTTCTACCAAGATATGATATTTTCAGTGTTGAACGCATACATTTCCATGGACCATGTGTGAGATGAGAACAAAACCTTCCAGATCCTGCTAGAGCAGATCACAGAATTAGGCAAGCAATTAAACTTTCCAGTTGTTCCCTCTTTCTCTCCTGTTCCTCATTTCCAGGTCCATTTTTCTCCTGTTATTTGATCAGAAGTTCTGAGTGCTTTTGTTTTCTTTCTTTTCTCATTTTTCAGGACACAAAAGGAATGCATCCTACAGGACTGACTTACTCAGATAACCCCCTTCTGAAGCCCACCAGTGCTTTGACTGGAGCAAACATAGCTTTATTGATTTGAGGCCTTCAGAAAGCTGCATGATAGCTCCCCTAAAGTAAGATGAGCTTTGCCAGTGGTGAAGGCCAAGGTCACAAAAATCTTTGGAATCACCTTTTTGAAAACCCCAATCACCTTCTCATCAATTCAATGCAATTGAAAACACGCTGGTGGTTATAAGCTCATGAAGCCTTAGTTTATCTGGGGGCTACTGGGTGATACACCATGGCCTCATGTGCTTCTGCTTCCCTTTTCAGTTGACCATGTACACTGCCCAGCAGGGACTGTCTTCTCTCTCCACGGCTTGCTTTGGACTTTGCCTCCTTGAATGGGATCTGTTGTCCCCTAAAGATTCAGACTGAAACTCTGAAGTACTTATCAGTCTTAATTTTGGTGCTGGGTCACAATTTCCTTCTGAGTCTGCTCCATAATCTCCCGTTCACACTGGGTGCTCTGTGATCCCTCTCGTTACTCTGCCTGTATCCCCCTGCCAAACTCCACCCTTCTCAAAGCAGAGACTGGAAGGCACATTACATATGTTGACCAGTATAAACTCCCAGAGCACAGAGACCTCTATATCTAGGTTAAGGAGTAACATTTGGGCTTTCAGGCAATGTGCCCAGCAGGATGAGCAGCCTTGCGTTTACAGAGAGCTGTGGACAAGAACTAGGCTGAGAACTGGGATGTATCCACCTCCTAAGTACTCCCCATAAAGTACACAACTGCTTTCTGTCACTTTTTGGCTCAAAATCTTACTCTGAGATTAACTAAAAAGGGAAGCAGAGAAAATAAAACCTGTAATGCCTGTATGAAACCTCTACTCTGCAATTTAGGTATTTTGCCTACTCCTCTCT